TTCGTATCCGTCCTCTTCTTCTCCTCCTCCGCTCCGTCGGAAGCCGCTTCTTCCCCAGCGAGGAGGATGGGGCTGCTGCGCCTGTGTTGGCTCCTGCTGGGCGCCCTGGCCGCCGGTGAGTCTCCTCCGTCCGGCTTTGCCCTCCGTCCCTTCGCCGGCCTCCGTCCACGTCCCTCCTTGGGCTCCTGTCTCCATCTTCTTCTTCTTCTTCTTCTTCCTCCTCCTCATCTTCTTCTCTCCCTCACTCCTTCCCTCCTCCTCCATCTCCATCTCTCTCTCTTTCTCTCTTTCGGTGACTGAAGCGATTGAGGCGGTTGTCCTGAGGGGAAAGGGATGGAGGCGAAGTGGGTCCAAATGGAGGGAGGGAGGGAGGAGAAGGGGCTTCGTTGGCTGGGCTGTCGTTGCGCACTTGGACAGGGCGCACTATAAATCCCTCCGACTATAGGATGAGGCTCCTATCAGGGACTGAGCCGGTCGTTGCGCACTTCGACAGAACGAGCTAGAAGTCCCTCCGACGGGGATACAGGCTAGAAGACGGATATATGAGGGACTGAGCCGGTCGTTGAGCACTTGGGCAGGGCGGACTATAAGTCCCTCCGACCGGGAAACCCCTTCCCCCGCCCCGGTCGTTGTGCAGAACAGACTAGAAATCCCTCCCACCGAGGTTGAGGCTCGATGGATAACCGGACGCTGCGCGCTTTGGCAGGGCGAACTATAAGTCCCTTCGACCGGGATGCAGGCTAAATGGATAGATTCCATTAGAGACTGAGCCGGCCGCTGCGCACATGTCAGGGCGGACTACAAATCCCTCCGACCGGGATCCATGCTAGATGGATAGGCTCTATTAGGGACTGAGACTGTCCTTGCGCACTTTGTGAGGGCGAACTACAGATCCCTCGTACCGGGATCCGAGTTAGATGGATAAAAAAGACTCTATTAGAGACTGAGACTGCCGCTGCGCACTTTGTGAGGGCGAACTACAAATCCTTCTTACCGGGATCCATGCCAGATGGATAGTCGCTATTAGGGACCGAGACTGTCGTTGCGCACTTTGTCAGAGCGGACTACAGATCCCTCCGACCGGGATGCAAGCCAGTTGGATAGACTCTTATTAGCGACTGAGACTGCCGCCGCGCACTTTGTCGGGGCGAACTACAGATCCCTCCTACCGGGATCCGTGCCAGATGGATATTTATTTATTCATTTATTTATTTGGAGTATTTATACCCCACTAACCAGCCAAAAGACTCTCAGAGCGGCTTACAAATGGTTAATTAGGCATTTCCTCAGGAGAGTCTCTGTTAGGGACTGAGACTGTCGCTGCGCACTTTGGAAGGAAGGGCGGACTACAAATCCCTCCGACCGGGAGCCACCACAACCCTCTCGCCCCAGTCGTGCCTCAGCCCAGCTCTGCTTACCGTTGCGGACTTTGGCAAGCGGAGGGGGAGGGAGTAGAGAACTACAAATCCCTCTGAGTGCATGCCAGATGGATAGGCTCTATTAGGGACTGATCTTGCCGTTGCGCACTTGGGCAGGGGGAACTACAGATCCCTCCTATCGGGATTCTCTCCCCCCCCCCCTTGCCACTGGTGCCTGAGCCCAGTTTTGCCTTGCCTTGCCTTGCTTTGCTTGCCTTGGGCGCCCCATTTGCCGAGGCGGCGGAGAGAGGGATGCTGCGCTCGGGGATTGGCTTTGCTGGCCAATGCCTGCCGCTTCCCCTCCTCCTCCTCCTCCTTTTGGGAAGGAAGGAAGAAGAGCCCTTTGGAGACGGGAGGAGGATTGGGAGCTCTAGCACCGCCTTGGCCTCTTTGCCCTGCCCTGGGAAAAGCATCCAATCCTCACCGCAAAAGGAGAACAGAGCCCAAATGGAGGACACCAAAGAAAAGCGAAATAGTAGCAACCCATGCTCCTTAGGTATACTCCACATGGAGGACATTGGGAAGTTCCTCCAGGGCAAAAGGTTGAAATGGAGGACGTGTCCTGGAAAAGGAGGAGAACCTCTGGTCACCCTGGAAACACACACACACACACACACACACACACATGCCCAGGGTGACCAGGTGATGAGATCCAACCTCAACCTTAGGAAGAACAGATTGATCTACTACTGTTGGACAGTAGAAGATGCTCCTCTCCAATTGGGGTGGAGCCTCCTTCTTTGGAGATTTGTAAACAGAGGCTGGGAGGGGAGTGCTTTGATGGTGAGTTCCTGCATGGCAGGGGGGGTTATTGGATGGCCCTTGGGGGGGATCGCTTCCAAGGCTAGGATCCTGTGTCCTAAGCAGAAAAGAGGACAAGGCATCGCCAAATGAAGGACAGGTAGGATGTGATCCAAGATATGTGACCCGCTACATATAAATGTAAATTCATGCTCTTTAGTCATGCTCCAAAGGGAAGACTTTTTTTTTTTACACTCCTTTTGGAGGGACGGTGTGTCTGGTCATCCATAAACACACACTGTCTGCAAACACACTCACTCTCGCTTTCTCCTACGCACAACACACGCCGCACACTTGCCCACATGCACCTGTTCTTGTGCCAAAACCGTGAGGCTCAGGCTGCTGGTTTATCACCCTACGTCTTGTGTTTTCACAGTTAATCATTCTTGGTGATGGCTATTGCCCTTGAAAGAACCGGCCTAAACAGTTGTGACAGCATGTGATCTGCCGCTCTTTTTCTTTCCCCTTCTCCTTTCCTTCACTACTGGTCTCTAGAAAGTTTGGCACACTTGGGCACAACTGTGCCCCACACTTGTGAGCAAGCAGCCATAGGGGAAAGACTACCCTTGGGGCTGCATTGAGATGGGATTGGGTGGGGGGAACCCTGGCAGCAGTTTTTCTTGGGATGTTCCCATATGGAAGAAACTGTGGACAGATTAGCGGGGATAGGCAACCTTTCCCCTTTAAGGGCCGAGGGACTTCAGCTCCCAGAAGCCTCAGCCATGTTGGCCAATAGCTCCTGGGATTCTGGGAGCTGAAGTCCCTCAGCCCTTAAAGGGGAAAGGTTGCCTACCCCTGGATTAAAGGATCTACTTCCACCTGTACAGTGGGTCCTTGTTATCCGCTGAGGTTTGGTTCCAGGATGCCCCATGGATACCAAAATCTGTGGATGCTCAAGTCCCATTAAATATAATGGCATAGCAAAATGGTGTCCCTTATATAAAATAGAAAATCAAGGTTTGCTATTTGGAGGTGTTTTTTTTTTTTTTTTTTTTTTTTTTTTTTTTTTTTTTTTTTACTATTTTGAAACTGTGGGTGCTTGAATCATGGATAAAAAATCTGTGGATAAAGAGGGCTGACTAAAATTGTATGTGCTCTTGCCAGACCCTTGCTGTATGTGGATCATAAAGATTCGATTTAGCTTAGATTTAGATAAATTTAGTTTAGAGATCAGACTCTTCCAACTCAAAGATCTGAAAGCCAGATTTTTCTCCTTTTCCTTTCCTTTTCTCTTCTTTTTTTTAAAAAAAAAACACCCTCTGAGATCTGAAAATGACACTGGACTTTTCTTCTCTCCAAAGAGAAAGATGCTTCAGATTGTGTCACTTTGCTATGGATGAAAATTAACTACTGTTATCATCATTGCCACAAAAGTTATTTTAAACATTAAGTGATTTAAGCATCTGCTGGTATGTGTGAGTGCTCCTGGAATCAAAAACTGCTCTTAGGAGCTGGATATTTAAGGAGCAAGTGAAAATTAGATCTTTGAAATCTCTTCCAAGACTTTTCTGTTGGAGAAGAAACCAAAGAGAATGGTTCTCAAAATAGCTGGTTTGTTGTGAAATGAGGCAGAATAGTTTATCACACAGGGTCAAATGTACCTCCATCCCAAAAACGATTAAAGCAGTCACACCCCAAAAATGCACACAAATGTGCAAATGGTTTTCACACGCAAACCCCAATATCACATTTATAAATGTGAAAGAGAGGAGTGAATGCACTTTTGGTTTTCACGCTCATCTGCATTAATCCCGCTGTTGGTTTAAGATTCACGCTTTTGTGCATGCATGCAGAAGAACCTATCGCTTCACCAGAAGTGACATGCAGTTATTTCATTTCCGGGTCAATGCTATTTCTTCTTGTTCTTCTTTTGCTGTTGTATTAATTCACCATTTTTCTTGCAAGCACAATGGGAAGTATTGATGGCATGGCTGTTGCAAGCATTACAAGGTTTGATGTTCTGTTCTGTTGATGTCACGTTTAATTGCAAGGTATGAGGAGTTGGAGATGAAGTGGCTTCAAAGGCATAGAAATGTGTTAAGATTTCTGAGTTCCAGGAGGAACAGGGGAGTCTCTTCCATGGGCATTTTATGTTTCCTTATGCGAGGTGATAGGAACAGCATCCTGGCTCACCTTGCCAATGTTTTAGAGCCACGTCACTGGTGGGTCAGACCACAGGTGGTAAGGAACTGGTGGTCAAAAGAGGTGCTTCACTTCTGGGATGATGATATGTGGATAAGAAATATTAGGATGTCCAAGCAGACCCTCTTTGACTAGGCAGATGCCCTCAGACCTCACTTCCAGGCGAGTGACACATTAATGTGAAGGGCCATCACTATATAAGAGAGGGTTACCATCACCATTTGGTGGGTTTCCAGTCAACTCTTGTCCCAAAAAGTGGCTCAACCCTTTCAGATTGCAGTCTCTACAGTAGCAGCAATATGCATCAAGGTGTGCCAGGCCATTGAGAAGGTGCTCCTCAAGAAAACAGTTCGCCTAGGTAATCATCGCCAGGTATGTGCCTTACATTAGACTACTAATATAATATGTGTGTGTGTGTGTGTGTGTGTGTGTGTGTGTGTGTATGTATATAGTTAACTGCCTTC